GCCTCTGGCCTGTGACCCAGGCCCACGTTAAGGGGTGTCAATATCCGTTCCGCGGCCTTGAAGACGTGACTGATGTAGGGCAGAGCACGAATGATAGTGGGCTTTTGTTTACGTTCCCCGTCTGTCCTTGTGTGCCTTCGGTGCAGGCATTTGTTTATAAAGCTTCGGGGGTATCCATTGGAGAGGAACGGTTGCCATAGGTACTTTCGTTCCTGCAGTTTCTCGGCCTGTGTGCTGCAGTAGGTGTTGACGCGTAGGAACAGCATCCGGACGCAACTGCGTTTATGCGACGGCGGGTGGTTACTGTTGTAGTTAAGGATTTTCTCTGTGTTGGTCGCTTTTCGAAACACCTCGGTGTGCAGCGACCCATCTTCTTGTCTCGACACCCGGACATCCAGAAAAGGAATTTCCCTGCCTTCTTATTCCTCTATCGTAAATGGAATTTTGGGGAAACTAGATTTCAATTTACTTCTATAGTCTTCTTTTGCGTCGTTGATGACTTTCACGGCCAATTCTTTCGGAGTGGAAAAGGGGGACGACGTCAAAGGATGCTATTGTTATGTCTGCAGCTATCTTGACGTCTCTCAGTTTTCAAGGAAGTATGTTGAGGATACAGCTATATGTTCCGAACCGTCCGTCAGTTTCTTCAGATGTTTAGCGAGCCATTTAGCTTGCTCGTATGAACGTGTGCCTTTCAGTGCCACGATTGGCCGCAAGAGTACGTTTGGGTTATGGATATTAGGCAGTCCATAGAAGCGTGCTGCGGCAGCATCCTGTGGCTTCATTTGTTGCCAGTCCGTTTCGGATATTGCCTTCTGGTTCCTCATTAGGTTCAGGCCCTTGTTAATTTTGCCCACGAATTTCTTCATTGTGTCCGAGTCGACGAGTCTGTATGACTGCCTATCATTCAGTAGCTCATCCGCTCTTGCTATGTAATCGGACTTGTCCAGGATTATAGTTGCCCGTCATTTGTCAGCTGGAACAATCGCAATATCATCGTCCCCCTTTAATTCCTTGATAACCTTTACTTCGGCTGAGGAGATGTTTCGGCGTGGCCTGTGAGATATGATGAGCGATGCGACTCGCTGGCGGACAGAGTACTTGTGGTCTTCTGTGCTCTGCGCCCTTGAGAGTGTCGCATCCAGCGCTGCGATAACTATCCACTGGATGCGCCTCTCCAGTGTTGTATCCGGCATCATGCTGGAGTACTTTCATCTGCTCATCTGTCAGGTGATTAGATTACAGGTTATGGACAGATGGCGATCTAGGTACTATTTCTTGCGCTTCCTTTAGGCCCCTCATAGTGTTCATAAGTTGGGTCCTCTTCCACTCGCTCGGCTTTCACTTTAGTCGTCATCCAGCTCTCTAGGTGTCTGAGTGTTTCCGTCTGGAGATGGGCCTCGCACGCTGCTTTCTGTCTTTCGATGTCTCTGGCGTATCTTCTCTGGCGAATGTGGCAGTCGTTAATGAGAGTTCTTAGTAGGCGTCGGCTACAGCTCCTGGCGACCGTCCGACCAAAGTCAGTTCTTACCGTTGGCCATACAGAGATGCTCTATGGCAAAATATCAAACCTCAAACAGTTGTGTAAAAAGGTTAATTGTTCGTATGTAGGTCCCTGTCAACAGAAAAATAATTCCCAGTGCAAAATTCGTTGGCAAAATTAACAAGGGCCTGAACCTAATGGGGAACCAGAAGGCAATATCCGAGAAGGACTGGCGACAAATAAAGCCACAGGATGCTGCCGCAGCATGCTTCTATGGACTGCCTAAGATCCATTAACCTAACATACCCTTGTGGCCAATCGTTGCACTGAAAGGCACACATACATACGGGCTAGCTAAATGGCTCGCTAAACATCTGAAGAAGCTGATGGACGGCTCGGAACATACAGCTGTATCCTCAGATTATTTAGAACATTAATTTACCTCGTGGCATTAGTGTGTGATCATTTTGAATGTTGGGTTGATTAGTTACACGATCGCCAATAATCAGCCATCATATCAGCAGCAGAGTGGAGAAAGAGGCGCATAAATTTCTTGGTATTGCTCGAGC